CTGAAGCCAAGTAAAAGAGAGCGGGTGTCTCGGACATCCAGTCCTCGTAGTAGCCATGCATGCTCCTCAGTCGTGTCTCGCATTTGCATGCTTCGCATGCTTATGGGTAGGCAGGGGAGGTGACATGCTGAATGCAAATGAACCCGTCTGGTCTTCCAGACCGCGACATCGCTCTCAAGCCTGCTGAGCCCTTTGTTTCCTTTAAGGGCTTCATCGGGCCATGGGGCATGAAACGTTCTAGCGGGTCGCGCTCTAGCAGCTCGTCGTCGCGGTCTTCCTCAACCTCTCTGGAGCAACAATGTAGGAAAGCCGCTGCAGACAGGTTGGCGCAGGAAAGTCCCGAAAGAGATGAGCCATCCCAGCCGCAGCCAAACGCCATTGCCAAGAGAGACCTTTCGCCGTCAATGCAACGTTTGCTGTTAGAACATGGGCAAGGAGTCGTTACCGAGACAGACTTGCAATGCCGGGGTGTTTTCCATGCGCGAGATCTTGCTTATGGATGGGAAACCCATGAACTGCTCGCCTTTCCTAACTCCCAGGCTTGGCTTCACCTGCACCGGCGCACTTTGGATCATGTGGAAAGAGCCACATCTTCCAGGGCACGGTTGGCTCATGTTGCAACCACGCTGGTGCCCAAGCAAGCTCAACCACCACAGCTCTCGGTGCAGCGCACCGGTTCGACCGCTTCCGTTGGGACTTCTGCCCGCACTGTTCTGCGGGCCACTGTGGAGGCCAGGCCATCAAAAATGATGAAGCCAGACCAGCCCTCCCCGGTGGCCCAAGTGCTTTTCGAGCTCATGATGGCCAATGCAGAACATTCCACGCAGGCCCAACAGTTGACCACCTGCCCGCCTTCAATGTTGCACGAGTTGAAACACATGTGGATGTTGAAGCTGGGCTCCTTTTCGAAAGAGACGTTGCGCAACGCTGCTTCTGCATGGCGACGGTGGTGCTCGTGGACACAGAGGCAGCAGCCCCCGGTGCTGAAGTTGCCAGCCTCTGGTGCTTGCTTGGCTTTGTTTGCACGTCAGGTTTTCTTGGGATCTGATGTGAAACGTCGAAATGCAGGTGGCCGTGGGGCTGTCGCTTCGGTCCTTGCTGGCCTGCGTTTCCTCCATCACCACCTCGGTTTGGACCTCCAAGTGCAGGACAAGCTTTTGGATGCGGCAGCGGCTGATGCCGATGAGCAACCTTTAAAGCAAGCCGTTCCGTTGCAGCCAAGGGATTTGGCTGTGCTGGAGATGTTAATGGGCTCCCCGAATGAGGTTGTCTCCTACCTCAGTGGCTGTGCACTCGTATTGACGTACGGCGGTGTACGATTCCGCCATCTCCAGCGAAGCTTCCCAGTTGAGACACGGCCGGACGGGGTGGTGTTTCGTTGCGAACAGGGAAAGGTGCGCCACCGAGGACAGCCCGCTCCGCCTTTCGACTGGTTCTTACCGAAAGATGGGGTCTGGACCAACGATTTGGCTGGAACCGTCTTACAGCAGTGGAGGAAATTGACTGGCGGCAAGTCTCGCTTTCTGGTGCCTGTCTTGTGGCCGTACCGTGCTTCATTGGAGCAGGCCAAAGGTTTTGTGGTCATGGCAGCAAGTACAGGGGCGTGGAACAACATGGTCAAGCACTTGGTCGTGCTCAACATGGGAGGTTGGCCACTGCGTGAAGGTCCGACACCAACGTCGTACTCATCACGGCGACTGCTTAGCACTGTGGCAGCTGCGTTGCAGATGGATTCTGAGGAAAGGTTGGCTTTGGGTGCTTGGCAGTCAGACGGGCGGAATGGCAAACGATGGTCCATGCCAGTGCGCTACACCGACCAGCCGGTTCGCCTAGAGGCGCAGGTTCGGGCCAAACAGCGGGTCATGTGTGCTCTGCGAGCTATGGCTGCTGCCCATGGCGCCAACATCTTCCAGCAGGCCTGGGCCGACAATTTTGACGTTCTTCGAGGCTGCACTGGTGATCGTATTGACCCTGTGCCACTCTCAGCCCGCGTCGGCGGCTCGCAGTTGCAGCCCTCCTCTCACATTTTGTCCGGGCCCGACGAAGACTCGGAGCCCACATCGTCCAGCGACTCGGAGGCCACATCTTCAGCTACTGAATCTGCTGATGTCTCAGATCGCACGGTCGAGTGGTGCACGCCCTCCGGTCCACAGGGCAAGCTCCACAGGTGCCATCCTTTCAAAGTGACATCCAATGGTTTCACTCGGCCGGTGTGCTGTACTCTCAGGGACAATCCGGTCTCTGGCACTGGTGTGGACGACGCCATGCGCCGGTTCCCTTACCGGTCTTGGTGTCCTCGCTGCTGCCAAGATCTTCTCCTGAAGACAGGAAAGCTGCCTTCTACAGGAGACACACTTGTGCCATAGGGTGCTTTTTTTGTACAGGTCTCAGTTTCCGACGCCTCTGCCATACGCACTTCCGCAGTGCTGGTAGCTGGTGGAAACAGGTTGGCTTGGGCATTGCTGATTCAGTTCCAAAGGTGATTGTCGGTTAGCAGTTGCTCGGGCTCCAGCCGTATGTTGTTCCGCCTAGCGGCTATCTCCCACATCTTCTACCGATGGAGGCAGCTTGGCGCAGTGATCTTGCTGACCGCAAGGTTCCCGACAGTGTGGTAGCTTTCTTTGATCGCGAAGGCATCCATAACTCATCGCGGTTGGCCAATTACATTGACTCCCGCGAAGAGATCATGCCACTCCTCATCGACAAAATTCCGGAGCTGAACGGCAGCCGGGCCACCAAAGCCTTGCTCACGGAAATCTGGCGTGAGGCAGACCAGCTTGAAACGCTGCGTCTTCAACGCAAGGCATCGGGCTGTCGTGAGGATGACATGGAAGATGCACTTCCCGAGCATGTCAATGAGAGCTTCCGTGATAGGTGGATTAAGCGGTACAACTTTAAATTACTCCTGTCAGAGACGCTGTGCGAGCCTCTCGTCGGCCGCATAAAACGTGAGTTTGATCGCAAGAGCCAGAGCTTAATTCAAGTGGACAGGGTCCGCTCGGCTAGGGAGACTTCCCGGGCAGGCTCAGGCAAGAAGCTCAAAATGGCCGAAGATGTGACAGTCTCAATTGCCACGGTAGGCTTGGCCAAAGGTCCACGTGTGGTCCCGTCCGTCATGGTCTACCTCCAACTCTTGGAGATTCTCCTCCACGGGTATGCGTATGTCGGCAACTTCGTGGACCAGGGGACCGGAAAGCTGTACTGTAGTCTGGAGTGTGTCAGGGAGTACCTCGCCTTCGTCAAGAACAAGGTGGCCCCTTTGTCGGGGAACATGCAACCCCTCAGCGAGCTTCGTCGAGCTGACGAGGACAGCCGCACGCTCTGGGCTGAGGAGATGAGGGGCGGCTTAACTTTCGATGCGGCCGTGCAAGCCTCTGAATCCAAAGTCGCTGCTTTGTGGCTCTTCGCTCACAAGAATGACGTTCGCCAAGCGGCCGACACAGTCCTCGTGGACAGCCCAAGCGAGCAGTCGCCAAAACGACCTCGGGTGGAGCCGCCGCCTGAGCCGACGGCCCCAACACTTGCATCGACTACCTCGGAGGGCAAGTCAATATGCCGCCTATGGAACGAGGGCAAGTGCAGTGCCAACTGCAAACACAACCGTGCACACGTGTGCAATTTTCTTACCAAAGCTGGCAAGGCATGTGGACAGAATCACCGGAGGTGCGATGCGCACCGCCGCCGCTGAAGTGAAAACCCTCCGTCGCCTTTCCAGGTGGCGGAGGGCTCGAGTCCACAGTATTCGCAGCCTTTCAGCGTGGAGTCGCCGGTGGACAGTTCACACGCTCCTATGTGTCAGCCCCCTCCAGTTTTTCTAGCAGAGGCACAGGCCAACTCGCCGTCAACTCCTCGGTGGCAATGGAGTGCCACGAAACGGTTGCATGACCAGGCACGGCCTTGTCCGGCGAGCCTGGCAAATGTACAGTCTGTTGCTCGTACAGAAGGGTCCTTTCGTCTGCTAGTTGTTAGTTTCTTTGACGGCATCGGCTGTGTCTGGCAAGCCCTCCAATCCACCCCATTCGACGTTCAGGGCTTCAGTTTTGAGGTGGACGAGCGTTGTTGCCAAGTCCTAGCGCAACATCATCACGTCACTAGCTGCGGCGACGTGCGTGGCTTTAACCCGGCATGGTTGGAGTCGAAGATTCGTGACTTACGACCGCATGCATGTTTGCTTGCGGGTGGCTCTCCATGCCAACAGCTCTCATCATTGGGGAATCAGTCCGGTTTGGAAGGTGCCGACACCAAGTTGTTCTGGGATTTTGTGAGCGCCAGAGATGCGGCCCGCGCCGTCTGCAAGGCTTTTGCCGTGTGTTTCTTCTGGCTCCTCGAAAATGTGGTACCAGCCAGTAAGCATCAGCGGGCCATGACGGCAGCCCTCGGCTTGCAACCTCTGTTGCTCAACGCAGCAGACACAGGCTGGCACATTCGTCGTAGGCTTGCATGGTTCAACTGGGATCTCCCGCCACAGATGGAAGCATTGGTTACGTATCATGATGAAAAAGGTTTCTTTGTCTTGAGCGTGCCACACTCTCGGCGCATTTTGCCTCCGTTGGGCTCAATTTTCCGTGGTGGTTGGTGGCCCCTTCATCTTCTGGGTGCAAGCAGTGAAGAATTTCCTGAGGGGCGCTTTGCTGTTATGAGTCGACCATTGAAGCCGGGCATGTCGCCACGAGGCTGGTCGCAAGCATCACCGGAGGCCCGAGAGCGATACCAGCAAAGTACCATCAAATTCCCTGTGTACCACTTCGAAGCTCCAAACCTCCTGTGGAAAGATGATTCTTGGAGGCTAGCCAATGCAGACGAGCGAGATCAGCTCTTCGGGCTGCCGTCTGGGTACACCAAAGGAGGGGGCGTCCGTGTTGGTCTCAGTGACGTTGAACGCATGCGTTTGTTGGGAAACGCTTGGCATGTCCCGTCTTTTAAGATGCTCTTTGTGGCTTTGGCTTGGTGTTGCGCTCTTCCAGCTTCCGGCGGATGTGTTTTGGCAACGCCTTTACAAGAGCTGCAGCTGGCAGTATCTCCGCAGGAACCGGTACCATACCTTTGGGGCCGGACAGGTAGAGATTTTGTTGATGCATACTTGCAATGTGTTCCTGAACCGTTGAGGTCCATCGCATTGCCGTTCGCTCATGTGTTTGACCCGCCAAACATGAACCCTTTCTACCGCAACTTACTGAAAGCTGGCGATTTCAAGGGCGGTCTCCTGCTGCCTGATTTTCGCGAGCACTCCAGTGCCGGCGATTGGGCTACAGCGGCGGGCCACCAACGCGGGTCGCACATAAACAAGGACGGTTGGCCTCGCTTGGTCCCATGCGTGCAATCCGAATGCCAACATTGGGAACTAGCTCACGGCTTGTCAGAACATCCTTTTGCATCTCACCCTTGCTTGCCCAGTGATCTGCAGTTCGCAATCTCAACGGTGTGTCAAGGGACGGGTGTCATGGCCATGCGCAAAGCTGTGCAGCGACGTTGGTTGCGAAAACGTGGAGAACTGCAACCTCTCACGCGCATGGCGCGTCGGGCCATGAGCCCACGGGTGCGTGCCGTGGCTTTTTCATATGATGTTGGGTTGCACTTGTACCTCCAGATCCTATTGGCTTGGCCGGATGTCACGTATGCCGCACGGCTTATCACGGGCTTCCAGGTGGTTGGTGCCATTGAGAGCCCGCCAATTTATCGCAGTGTGACTGAGTGGCCACTGAGTCAGGGGCGAGAGGAGTTCTTTGAAGGTGCAGCGGAGTACATGAATGACCTTCTAGGAAGCATGGGCCCGTCCGAGGACCCGCTGCATGACGCTAAGTGCTTGGAGTTGAGCCTAAAAGATGTTGCGCAGGGAACCGCATTGGGCCCCCTCACAGAGCAACAACTGCGGATGAAGTATCGTGCAGGCTCCGTGCGAGCCATGCCACGTTTCGCAGTCTTGCAGGCGAACCTCAAATACCGTGCTATCGATAATGGTAAGCACAGCGGTCATAATGCTCACTCTGAGGCAACTGTACGTGTCCACACTTCCTCACATGACCTGTTTCTCCTGGTTTGTCGGGCATTCTTCCGAGAGCGTGCAACCGTAACAGACACATGGGGAATATGTAGATTGGAATTCGGCGTCGACGATGAGAGTAGTGCCTATCGCTGGAAGCCTACTGCTGATGCAGATCAAGCAGCCTTGATATGCTGTTTTTGGCATCCCGAATGGCAAGCGCCCGCCTTTTTGGAGTTGCTCGGTCACCCCTTTGGATTGTCGTCGGCCGTCCTCAACTACAACAGGGGGCCTGAATTGGCTGTTGCAGCGTGTCGTCAGTTGCTTGCACTGGTTGCATTGCATTTTTACGATGATTCGTGCCTGGTCGGTTTGAACCGTGAGAAAGGACAGCAGCAGTACATGTACAATGCTTTGTGCGATTTGCTAGGGGTCCGGTTGGATCCGGGAAAGAAGCAGCTCATGTCAAGCACGGGCATGTACACTGGTGCGAGTTTTGACTTGAGCCGCTTGATGGTTGATGGCGAGGTTGTCGTGAGTCCGAAACCCGGGCGATGTGCGTCTATCTTGGCTCTTGTAGTTGCAGCTCGCGCAGCAAACCGCCTCACGCCTGCCGAGGCGGGCAAGCTCAGGGGCAAGTCCGAGTACTTGGCCAGCCAGTTCATGGGCAAAGTTCAAAAAGGTTGTCATGCGGCCTTGGCCCAAAGGCAGTACCGTGACAAGTCTACGTTGCTTTCCCCATCTCTGCATTTATCTCTAGCTTTTCTGGAGTGCGCGGTCAACTTGGTGCCGTTCCGCACCGTCAGTTTCGCATCCAACAGGCCCCTCGTCCGGGTGTGGACTGACGCCATGTTTGAGCCCGCAAGTCCAGTTGGCCTTGGTTGCATTGTTAGTGCGCCGTGTCTCTATCGACCGGTTGCTCTTTACGCTGTCCTACCGGACTCGTTGGCGCAACAGTTGCAACCGCGAGACACCTTGATCAACCAAGCTGAGATCCTTGCACTCTTGCTGGGACCACTGCATCTACCAACGGTTTTTCAAGATGCTGACGTCATCTCTTTCATAGACAACACGTCAGCACTGCAAGGTGCAATTAAGGGCACCAGCGCAGTAAAGGACAGTGCCAGCTTGCTTGCGTGTTACCATCTTGTGCTTGCGCATTTGAATACCCGAGCTTGGCATGAGTTCGTCGAGAGTGAATCCAACTGCGCGGACAGTATCTCACGGCACGGCGGAGCGGCCTTGATCGTCCAGATGCTGCAGCTGGACTTTTATGAGGTATGTCTGCCTGAGTTGCCGGATGTACCGCATGCACCTCTGGAACAGTTGCTTAAAGCATTTTTGCCAGGATGCATGTGATATCGGATGTCGGCTTGGATTGTGAACCGCCTTCGAGTCGACCCGCGCATGCTACCACGCTTGCCTTCTGTCGTTTCGTAGGCGGTAATCTTTAACTGTTGGAATCAATGGGTTGCAGCTTGTTCTTTCTATGGGTACTTGCAACCCGGGTCCAGTTTTGCTTCTCCTTCACGGGGTAGCTGGATGTTTCCACGTTGCTACCTGATATCTGATAGAGAGACCACGCGCATTCAACCAATTGTAGCCCATGCTGGTCACTCGCTTCGCCAGACACTCAATTCAGTGTGAGCTTTGATTGATGGCCTGAAGCCAAGTAAAAGAGAGCGGGTGTCTCGGACATCCAGTCCTCGTAGTAGCCATGCATGCTCCTCAGTCGTGTGTCGCATTTGCATGTTTCGCATGCTTATGGGTAGGCAGGGGAGGTGACATGCTGAATGCAAATGAACCCGTCTGGTCTTCCAGACCGCGACATCGCTCTCAAGCCCCGCCCTCCCTCCCTTGGCTTGGATTGACCTGTGGTCATGCTTTTAAAGAGTCAGGGGGGTGGGGGGGTGTGGGTACTTGCAACCCGGGTCCAGTTTTGCTTCTCCTTCACGGGGTAGCTGGATGTTTCCACGTTGCTACCTGATATCTGATAGAGAGACCACGCGCATTCAACCAATTGTAGCCCATGCTGGTCACTCGCTTCGCCAGACACTCAATTCAGTGTGAGCTTTGATTGATGGCCTGAAGCCAAGTAAAAGAGAGCGGGTGTCTCGGACATCCAGTCCTCGTAGTAGCCATGCATGCTCC